TCACCATACAAGTTTGCTTCGTGACACTGGAAAAAGACATTACGGCAAATATCTCGGGTAGATAATACTGATGTTGAATTGTTATGGTCAAAGCATAGGTGAATATTTAATTGGCAAAAATTTCTAAAGTGAGCGTGCCATTTTACCCTTCTTTGGATGCCAAAACTTGGGATCAAAGTTCTAGTTCTAGATTTGAAGGCATTTTGTCTTTTCATCTCTCTCTGCTGTGCTCTTTTGTGTTCTTTGTGGTGCTCTGCTTAGGAAATCACTTTTAGTATGAATAGAGCTCACTTTACATTTTCTTTCTTTTTTCTAGAGGACTCCAGCATAAAACATCATTTGTTTGCTTAAGGGTGCAGGGACAAGGAAGCGGGGTGGGGCGTGGCGAGGGCGGGCTGAGGGCGTGGCTTCAAGGGCTCGTGGGGGGGGGGCTTTCTGCCGCTCCAGAGTCCCCGACATGAACACTGGTCCCTGCCTTCCAAGCGGCTAAGGGCCGAGGAGAGGAACTATTGCCATGCAAAGGAAGGAGTGGGGAGGAGCGAACCCAAGGCAACAGCCTTCATGGGGGAACTGGAGGAGACCCGGCCCGGCCAGGCCCCAAGAAGTGACAGCGAGAGTGCTGGCTGCTGCCATAGGAGGGTCAGGGGAGGGGGTAGGGGAGGGGACAGAGGGCCAACTTCGGAGAGCCTGCTCTGGGCTGGACGGTGGCCGTGCAGGTCAATGCGCAAGGGAGGGGAGGGGCTGCGGCGTCCACCTGAAGGAACTGACAGTTCCCTTAGGGTCCCTCGGCTCAGTGCTCAGGCGCCAGCACTAAGTCGTTTAATTTGTCGTTCGAGGACTGCAACCGATTCTCCCCTGGGTCTGTTACTTTATACTAAACATTCTTAAGCATGATTCATCAAGTTGGTCATGTATTTTGTGTTCTTTATTTTGATTCAGTATTTCTTCATCCACAGAATATTTTCTTATGTTATGACTTCTAAAATCCTGACAGTGTTGCCTTCTACAGTGAGGTTTTTAATCACTCAAAAATAAGTGTTTTCCTGTTAGCATGCTCAGAGTTGCTCTCAGACCATCCACTGAATAATTATTCCTCTCATCCTGGCCTATTCTGCCATCTGCAGTGTCTTCCTTCTGGAAAAACAAGTTCCTTTACCCAGGTGGGTTGATTTTTATCCCTCTTGTTTTTTGTCATGACATCCAGAAGGGGAGACCCTTTCCAGACAATGAATGGGTCATTCTTAGGTGTTTCCATCCTGCCTGGGGACAGAGGGTGGGGGTCTCCCGCTGTCTTGGGCTCTCTAAGGACACTCTGCCCACTGGCTGGGCTGCAGCTGGATGGTGGAGAACCACTGCCTGGGGAAGGGGTACCAGGAAGGAGTCCCACGAGCAGGTACACACAGAGGGAGCGAGGTAGAACCTGAGATCTCTGTCCATGCTGAGCATCATGGGAGGGTGATGATCCCGGGCCACTCGCAGACACAGAGAGGGACGCAGTGGTTCTGGTCTTGGTTATTATTTGGTCATGTCCATGTATGCAGGTAGGCAGACACGTGCTGATTTTAGCTGAGCATTCAAGTTTTGTCCTTGTCTGTATTTTATTCATGCATAGAATTGTTCTGAAATCTGGCTAGCAGAAACAACTTGCTCTAAATTCTAACAGACTTCCTGGTTGGTCAGATGCCACTGAACCTAGGAACAAAGGGGAGAAGGGGTGAGTGAGTCTGAAGGGTTGATGTTCTTTAGGTGATTTCCCAGAGTTTTGGAAGTCACTGGGACCCTGGAGAATTTAATCTCTTTGACCAGCTCTTCAGATAGGCTCTATATCCCTATCCAGTCTCCAGTCAAACACGGGGGCTGCCTTCTCTCGTACAGACTGTTCTGTTTTGCTTTTTTCTGGGACAGGGTCTCCCTATGATGCAGCCCAGCTTTGAGCATCCTACCTGCATCTCTTGTTGTGGCTAACAGGTGTGAGCCACGACATCAGGTTGATAAGGAAAATTCTTCCAGAGTGGGTCCCTGGGCCTGTAGCTAGATTTCATTTCCTCCAGGAGAGGCCAGGTGAACCCATGGCATGACCGATCTTCACCACCATGAAGGCCCTATCTTTCCTCTGTGTGTCTGCCATGGAGCCACATGCTAAATAAATGATCATTCTCATACAGTGCTATAAGACTTGATTCCTGCTCTGTGTCAGATTCAGGCCTCAGTACAGGGACCTAAGAAGATAGACAGAGATGGGTTGGGAGATCCAGCTTTGTGAGAACATGGGAAGCTATGCAGCAGTGGACCTGTTCCAGAAAGAGGACAGAGAAAGGAGAGGAGAGGCAGGCAGAGGCTAAAGCACTTGCATACTCAGGCAGCCATGCACGGGGGACATAGAGGGGAAGGCTGGCCAGGGAAGGTATGAGAATTCCCTGCAAGGAGCAATGTGGAGAGACCAGGAGGTGGCTCCTCCTCACTTACCTCTGCCCTTAGACAGCAACACATGTGGTGGCAGTGAGGGATTAAGTTTGATTTTTCCTGCCTGTGATAAGCAGCACAGTGTACTAAACTGGCTGTAGGCTTTGGGATCTGTCCTCTGCTGCTAATCTTTACCTAACATCTGTTGAAAAGTTTTCCCACCTCAGTCAGATTGTCTGTTATTGAAACTGTGTATCAATTTCGAGATCTTAAGTGGAAGAACTGAAGAGCTCATAGTCAATCTATTTCAGGGCTGCAGAGCATCTGAAAGTTGCTTCCCTTGTAGGGTGAGAGTGTGGCTGTTTTCACCCAGTCCTAGCTTAGCATTCTGTGGATAGGGCTTTGGTGTCACTACCTTGGGAGCAGCTGAACTATCAGGCTTCCTGCCCATTACCTCATTGTCACCCCCCAGGGGTGCCATTTTTCTTGCAGCTAGATGCTCTGCAGATTCCCCGTGTTTCTGCAGCCCCGTGTTTCCGCAGCCAGGATGATCACAGGGATCCCCAGAGCTTCCCACATGGACCCTTGCCATGTTGCTCTGTGCTCTTCCTGTGGCTCAGGGAGCCTGCTCTCCTATCTCTAGAGCCAGCATTCTAGACTCCCTTGCACTTGCCTTGAAGGCAATGGGTCTGGAAGTTTCCTTTCATCCAGGCTTCGGATCCCAAGGCAGGAGAATGTGGTCACGCAGGAGGGACAGGAGTCTCTGCATGTCACAGATCAGCTGAGTGCATGCTAGTGAAGATCAGTTTCCTGAGAGATGCCGTCCTTCTCTATGGAGGAGAGCCCTGCAAGGACAGCAGCCCTCCCGTGTCTTCACCTCATTGAAGTCATCTAGGCACCACTTCTCCCTGTGAGCCAGGGTGTGTACATGGGGACCTCATAGCTCAGAGTCCCTGATGTCACTTCCTGTCCTGGGAAGCTCCTGCACCTGAAAGCAAACTTCCTTCTTTTCTGAACCTTTTAAATATTTCTCATCAGCATTTTCATGTCCTTTTCACTCTGTATACTTTCTTCACATCACGAGGTTTTCTAACTGGAGGTCGTAGATTCCACATTGTACAAAAAATGGTGCATAATTTTGCTAACTTTTCAAATGTTTCTTTTTAGATCCCTATTTTCAAATGTGGATCACATTCTATCTTAAGTCCTGGAGACAGTGACGCATGTACTGTACTGCAGATGAAATAAGTTTTAATGTGTTATTTGCACTGTGAACTTGCCCCATTCCTGTATTATATTTTCATTTATTATGTAGTTGTTATTTGTACTTTCAATTGAAACCCTTCTCAAAATTTTAAATAGGGATAAATTTACAAGCTTCCTAGATCTCAGCATATGTTAGTAAACCTCTGATAAAATCTTAACTTTTTTCCTGTTTTAGAATGTAAAGCAACAATACAGGGACAGTAAAACCTGTCCCTGGGTGGGTGAGTGGGTGCATGAAAGCGCAGTAAGTAAGTGTGACTCACTTTGCCTCTCACATATGCTTGACCTGATCTTGTGCAGTGCCCCAAGTGCCCACTGGGTGCGAGGTGCAGGACTGGTAGCTCCTTGCTCTAGGCTGAAGCACTGTGTCTCAGCCCAGGGTTTGGAAAGCCAGAGACATCGCTGCATAGAAACCGTACTACTGATGGTGATCCTTGCACCTCGTGTTTCCTGTATGACTCTCGCAATCTAGTTTTGTCACTTGCAGCTGTCTGATTCTCCTGAGCCTCAGGGACTGGGAAGCCAGCAGCCCTGGGCAGTGTCCCGTGGCTCTTCCTGGCTGCAGGGGGCGCAGCACCTTTGAGCTGAGGTTGTTTCCCAGAGACCTGAAAACCACCTGGAGGGAAGCTCAGTGCTCCAGAGCAGAAGGGCATTGAATCCTCCTTTCTGCTCTAATTCTTAGGAAAGATTTTCCTCATGCCCAGTTGACAAAGAGGACACTGTGAGAGAGACCACCACCCAGTCAGATTGGTGGCTCTTGGGACTCTCCTTGCCTGCCAGAGGCAGAAGGGCAGTGCCACCAAGGCTCTAAGCACAGTAGAAGGTACACATTGTTTCTTTTTTAGTCCCTCCTAGTTGATAGCATTTTAGGATGTGAGCATGTACAGTTTCTGATATTTAATTTTTTTTTTTAATTTATGAACTACAATTCCTATAAAGGGCAAAAGGGCAGAAAGGGAGGGAAAGTGTAGTAGGACTAATGGAGAGCAAGCAAGGCTGGGCCTGGGCTTCTGTTGTGTGGAGGGCTGGTTGTTGGGTAGCAGGCTCTTTGGAAGTCAGAGTGAACCCCAAAGGGACCCCTGTTCAGTGGCCATGAGGTGACAAGGAAACCCCAGTATGGGTAGGAGAGTCTGAGGAATAGGGCACAGAAACTAGGCCTTTCTGATGGTGAATGCTGGCCATGGCGCCACTTGGGGGAGGCATCAGGGTGGGCCAAGATGTGAAGAACCTTCGTCCCTGTTTCTTGGAGGAGGCAGGGGAGGATGAGGTGATCTGTCCTGTTAGAGGCATTGCAAATGATGCAGCTCCAGCCTGAGGGAGGGCTGGAGGAATCAAACCCTGTCCCTGGGTTGGGCTTGGAGCAGGTTGAGCTGGGTGAGGTCCAATTGAGAGCTTGCTGGGCCTGCTGGAGAGGACACTTGGCTCCCCAGTGGCTCCTCCCAGAGTGTTGGGAGAGGGCACACAGATCTTGAAGATGTAGGCCTAGGCCGATGCCCAGGGGATGGACCTCGTGAGGAGCACTCTGGGCCAGAGGTGCTCTTTGTGACACTGAGAGTGGCAGGATGTTTGCCTACTAGTGAAGCTTTCAGCTCTGCTGCATGCAGGATTTGTCTGATGCGGGCATTTTCTCTTCTTAAATCCTGAAGTTGTCTTTCAGCGATGACAGCTTTGTTCCAGTTCTCACGGGCTTCTCTCTGCATGGAGGTCACCTGCCTCTGGTAGAAACAAACAGTCCTCTCCCATTCCTCTTCCATGTCTTGGGCTCGCTTTCTGTAGGTCTCCAGCTCTTCGGCGACGCGGCCCACCTCCTCCAGTTTTTGCTCCTGTTGCTCCCGGGCCTTTGCCGCCAGGTTCAGTTTCCTGTAGGAGCTCAGGACTGTTTGGTGGTGAACTTTGGCCTTCACTGTGAACTTCAGCTGAAGCTTCTGGCGCTCTCTTCGCAGCTCTGTGTTCTCCGACTGCAGAGACGCTCGCTGAGTCTGGAGATGTCACACAGACTCTGCCAGTTCTTCGTTGGTTTGCTGTGCTCCCAAGAGCTGAGCGTGAAGTCGGCTTCTTTGCTCTTCCAGGGTCTGGAAGGACGCGTTGATCTGAGCGCCGAAGACCAGCCTCTCCAAAGGTCCTTCTGGCCCATCAGCAAAGCTGGGACCACTTTGGGGCTGCCTCCTCACTTCCTGCTGGGAGTCCTCAGGAGGTGTGTGGTCCCCTGGGGGCCCAGAAGTCCCACCTTTCGTGGGGAGGAGCAGGTACCCAAACAGAGCCTCCCTGTGCTGTCCTTTCCCCTGAAGCAGTTGTTCTGCTCCAGCCTGGGCATCCTGCAGCGCTGTTTTCTGGAAGGTGAGTGTACCCACTTGTTCCTTCCACCCTTGAGCATCCTGGAGAATCTGTGCCTCGCTTTCCTGGAGTTGGGCCTTCTTGCTCACAGCATCTTTCACTTCTCTCTGGAGCTGCTCTTTGCTGAAGTTCAAAAGGGCGACCTTGGCTTCAGCTATTTCAGACGTGAGAAGTTTTGATTCCTGTGTTAGGGACCGGATCCTGCCAGACATCTCTTTCATCCTCAGTTGCTGTTTTTTAAAACGTTGGGATTGCTCTTCTTTCAGCTCTGTGAGGATGGAGGTTATCCGCCCTCGAAACCTGGCCGTGTCCTTGTAGGATGCCTCCCAACCCTGGGCTTGCCTGGCCCCCTCTTTCTCAAGGACGCGAGCCTCCCTGAGAGCTGCCTCCAAGGCTTCATTCTCCTTTTGAATCTGGCCGACTTTTTCCAAAAGTTGATGTTTTTCCTTAATGTATCCTGCGAGGCGGGGAGCAAGGCGTTTCTTTCTCTGTACTGTAAACCGGCTTCTGATACAGTGAAAAGTCTTCCATGAAACTAAGAGAAGGGTCAAAAACCCCATGATCGCTGGCAACTCCACGGCTCAAGGCTGCCTGCGCAGTCTCTTCAGCCTCTGAGTACTGGCCTACAATATTCAGTGTTTGGTCCAGAACCTAGCAACAGGAACGGCCCACCCCTGAGCTGGTTGGGGGGGAGCAGTGAGGGGCACCGGGGCTGCAGGACCTGACAGGGATCATGGTCCCAGCTCCCCTTTGCAAGTGGGGCTTTCAGGGGCCATTACTTTGCTCTCTGTCCTGGAAAAGCCCAGGTTCATGCTCCTCCATGCGCCTGCAATGTGCCTTCTCCGGGCCAGGGCACCCCCTTCCGTTGGTTCAGCTGGCCTGGATCCTTTGATGGGGAGTTGGTTATTGGTCACGTGCTGTGGTCTATGTGTATCAATGACTAGGAAATCTTTGAAAGACGCATAGCCTAAAATATTGCCCGACCAAGTATCTCATAAAACGTAACTAAGATTATCTTGATAAGGAAAAGTCTTTTTTCTCAACAGGTGATATGGGTGGTTTCTTCTGCCATTGTTAGATGTTTTCATCTCAAATTTATCTATATAGACACAATGTTGATTGTGCTGATTGATTTTAATGTTGTATCTTGATTTTCTACATGCCAGATGTTCTTGCGCGTGCTATACCTCCCTATTTATTCTCTTTCCTTCTTGGGCTCATTGTTTTTGTCTGTCCCTTAATTTTTTTCTTTGATATCTTTGTCTGAAATGCTAATCTCACTCTATGTATGCCCCCATGGTGGGTTTTTTAAATTTTTTTTTTCTGAATCGGTTATTGAACTCAGGCCCTTGCACTTGTCAGGGAAGTGCTTATTCCACTAGGCCATCTCCAAACCCCTCCCTGAGTGGTTTAATCAGCTCTCACATCTTTAAACTATCACTTGACATCTCTCACATCTATGTTTCTCTCCTAGGTCATCCCTAAATTACAGCCCTATGTATCTGGCTTCATGATAAATACCCACACTTGAATTCTATAACCCAGATAGAATCCATCTTCCTTTCATCTCCTCTTATCTCATCTCGTCTCTGTCTCTGTCTCTGTCTCTGTCTCGGTCTGTGTGTGTCTCTCTCTCTGTCTCTGTCCTCTCTTTCTCTCTTCTTTTGGGTCTTTTCCATGAAGCTGATCTGAATGTTCTTCCATTTCAATTCATGCTTACCTGGAAAACTTTGCTCATTTCTGGAGGCATGTTTTTTTTTCAGAAGTCAGTGTGACCTGTCCCTTCTCTAAACTCCTGAGTATCTTCCTCACACCCCCATCACTGAACAGCGCTGTGTAGTTTAACATCCTGTCTCTCTACCATTAGACAGTGTGTTCATGCAGAGCAAGACTATGCATAAGCAAATTCATTGCCCCACCTTCAAGCTATTCGAGCACTGGGGACAGAGGACTCGTCAAACCTGTGGACAACAAGAAACCAGTCAGGCAGCAGCAGCTGCACATCTGCCTTTTCACATGCCCATCTGCTCCTTTCATGTGCCAAAGCTCCACAGATTCCCTAGGTTCAGGCACCTCTGTGGCCTCCTTTCTTTGGAGCTCCCCTCAAAATCGGAGTGCTTTTCTTTGTTCCTTCCTGTGAAGCACAGCTGTTCTGTTCTCCTACTGCTGTTTTGTTGACTTCATTCTTCTTTCACTCACAGGAAGGCAATCCATGCAGAAAAAACTGATCACATCTGTAGTGCACAAGATGGAGGTGAAAGTGTGGGCAACAGCTGGATCACAGGCATGCTCTCTTTTTCCCTATGATTTTATATTCTAAGAAATGGGGCACTCTGCTGGACAGTGGAAAGCTACCAGAATGGCTGCAGAGGAGAAACCTAACATGACCAGCCTGTGATCTTCTGTGAGGTGAGAGGTGAACACCCTTGTTGCTTGTCAGCCAGCCATTCTATCAAAGTTCTCTCAAAAACCTCCATGAGGAGTCCAGCTAACAGCTTGGACTTTTACTCATCAGCTAGAAGGAGGGGCCACCCCCTGCCCCACATACACTTTGGCCAGATGTTTCTCTATAGATTTATGGAGCAAAAAGCAGATTAGTTTCCTAGCCCACATAGAGTGCGCCCTCATCTCCAATGTCCCTATTGCCTGAACCCCTGTCCTGACATTATTAGAGCCAGTGTCTACCCAGAAATTCTCTAGATTCCTCAAGAAATGTTTGTTAGGACAAAAGCCAAAGTAAAAGGAGTGTTCCTCAGGCCATATTATATCCACCCTATTGACAGTATGCTTACACTTTTGTTGCATTTTCTGCAGTGCTCAGGTAGTGGGGGAGCTTATTATAGAATTCTCTGAACTATTACCTCAGGCTTGAGTACAGAGACTGCCACTTCTTTAGAGAAAAGCAACTTTGCAGCACTGTCCCTCTTCCCTGGAGGCTGAACTAAGGGACATTGTTAAGAAAGCTTTCTGTCACCTCTGGGAGTTGAGTCACCAAGATACATTCCATCTCAACTTACCTATATACCATGAGGATCAGGTCCCAGGAGCACCCTCCTAAGACAAGGAAGGTGTCATCACATGGAACTATTACTGCCATGTGACCCAAGGGGAAATGCAATACAAAAATAGGATTAAAAGCTATATAAGAAGATAAACAGATCACCTGTAAAGGAAAGCCCATTAGAATCACATCAAACCTTCAAGTCAAGAAGAGCTTGGAATGAAGTATTTCAAATCATGAAAGAAAACAACTTCCAACTCAGATTGATGTATCCTGCAAAATTATCTTTCAAAATAAACAGAGAAATAAAGCATTTCTATATCTAATATCAATCGAAGAAGCCCTTGACTGCCAAATCAGCACTACAAATGTATGGAAAAATATTTTAGAGATAAACATGACCACAATTCCAAGAACATCAATAAAAAGAAACTACAAGGTAGACTAAGCAGTTAAACAGAAGGGAAAAGCAGGGAACCAACATCAGGAGAAGAACATGAGAAAGGTAAGCCAATAGATATAATTTATAACCAGCAATAGAAATGGCCTCAATTCACCTATAAAAAGAAACAGATTGGCAGAATGGATCAAAAACAAGACCTAAAAATATGCCATGTAGAAGAAACACATTTAACTCAGAAGGAAATTCATAGAATGAAAATCTAAGTATTATTTTCTATGGAAAATATGTACTAAATAATAGAAAATAATACTCTATGCAATAGGAACCCTGAAGAAAGCAGGGGTACCTATTCAGTTTGCAAACAATGTGAACGTTCAACCAAAAATGACCAAAAGAGGTAAAGATCACTCCATACTTATTAGTAGAAAACTTTTAGAGGAAGAGATAGATAATCATGAATATGTAAGTATAAAATGGGGGAGAAACCATCTATATAAGATGATTATTAATAGACTTAGAAAATCAAATAAGCAATAACACAGTTGTAATGAAGTAATTTAATAACACATTGTCAATGAGACAAAAATTCTGCAAAGTAATATCAGAACCGAACCAACCCTGTGAACAAATGGACTTAGTAGATGTTTACAGAGTGTTTCACCCAACAACATCAGAATATACATTCTTTTCAGCTGCTCACCAGATGTTCTTTAAAATAGACCACATACTATCCCATAGAACATGTTTAAGTAAGTGCAAAGGAATTCAAATTATGCCATGCATATTATCTGACTGTAATGCAATAAAATTAGAAGTTAATGGCAAAAGAAACCACAAAAACTCCATAAACACATGAAAATTAAGTAACTCCCTCCTGCACAGCCAGTGGGTCACATATGAAATTAAAGAAGAAATTAAACACCATCTATAGTGAAACGAAAATACAGATATAACATACTGGAACCCATGGGAGTCAATTGAAGTAGTCCTAAGAGAAATAAATAGTGTTGAATTTTCGTATCAGGAAAACAGAGCAATAACAAATGAATAACCTAATGTTGTACCTCAAGGTTTTAGAAAAAGAAGAGCAAGTCAAGCCTGAATTCAATACAAGGGAGGAAAATTTGAAAGTCAAAGCAGCAATTAATGCAGTAGGAGCTACGGAAACAACATGAAGCATGGTTCAAAATTTGGTTCTTTGAAGGAATAAATAAAATGATAAGTACCTAGCCAAACATATTTTATAAAGGAAAGAACAATTTCGTGGCATGAAGGGGATGAAATCACTATAGATCCTGTGGGAACTCAAAAGATCATCAATGTCTACTTCAAAAATCTTTACTCATATAGGAAAGAGAACAGAGAAATGGACAGATTTCTTCGAACATGTCTGAATTGCTCAAGCTGAATCAAGAAGACATAAAAATTCTGAGTGACCCAATATCAGTAAATGAAATCGAAAACAATTAAAAACTTAACAAAAAGAATGCCCAAATCCTGATGGATTCACTTCTGAATTAGATAAGAAATAGAGAAAAGATTTAATGCAAATGCTCCTCAAACTCTTTAATAAAACAGAAAGGGACGGAATACTTGCTAACTCATTTCTGGAGGCAAGTATTACTAAATCCTGATAACAAAAACAGAGAAATACCCAACCAAAAAGGAGAACTATAGGCCAATCTCCCTAATGAACAGATGCCAAAATACTCAATAAGAGACTATCAAACAGATTATAGCAAATCATCAAGGAGATTGTGTATTGCGACCAAGTGGGATTCATCCCATCAATGCAGGGATAATTTAATATACACAAATCAATAAATTTAATGCACCATATCAACAAGATAAAAAGCACATGATCATCTCACTAGATGTAAAAAAACTTTTGAACGAGTCTAACACTCATTCATGATAAAAAACAAAACCTACAGAAAATCAGAATAAATGGCCTACCTCAATCTGATAAAAGCTGTCTGTAACAAACCAACAGCCAGCATTATACAAAAAGACAATGCTGGGCTGGAGAGATAGCTCAATGGCACAGTTTCTGTCTGCCAAGTATAAGGTTATGAGTTTGATTCCCCATAACAAAACAATACAAATTAAAAAAAATCAGGATGCTTTCAGTTTAAAATCAGGAATGAAACAAGGAG